GGGACAAAGCAAGGGTGACGGCGAATTTGCCACCGTAAGACTCCTCCAAGATGTACAAAGGAGGGTTTCGTAGGCCGACAGTGTCGTTCGAAACCTCAGCCAGCAAAGTCGTCATGTCGATCGCCGCTTCCACATCGCCTTTCGCAAATTCACCTCCACTCTCCACGTAGCTATATCTGGTCCCGACTAGATTATCCTATTTTTTTTTTAATTTAGTCGAAAAATATTAGAATTTAAGGTTAAAATGACAAAAATTAAAAGGAAAAGGCCACAAACAAGAGGTTTGCTTTTTGCAGCCATGTTGAGTTTCTGGGCTTCAAGTTTGAGTTCAATGGTCTGATTTCCAGGAAGTTCCCAAACCTAGTTCCTGAGCCACCCTGTTTTTCAATATTTGAGCCATTTTCTTACAAAATACCCAAAATTTATAAATAAATCATTGGAAAAGATCGGCAGTTCACCGGTCCGCCCTGCAACCAGAGAATGGTCGACCATGGCTTGGAACCGACGTCCACTCTGGAAGGGCTTCTGTAAAGCCACCAAAACATATGGGCTTCTAAACAACACAATACACGAGCAAATATATAAAAAATAATGACTAAAATAAAATAGAAGGAAAGTTAATGAACTTGGCTTACTGGGTCTGACTTGAACGTAGCCCCATTCTTCAGATCCGTCTTGAGATTTGTGAGTTATGGAAGTTCCGACATGAAACAGAGAAGAGGAAGCAATGAGAACGAAACAGAGATGAAGAACTAATAGTTTAGCCATTGTCGAGAGAATGAGAAGCTTAGGTTCTTTAAAAACGGTGATAATGGATGACGATGAGACTCTTAGGTATTTATTGAATGGATGAATTAATTGGGAAGTTATGAAGGGGGGTGGAGAAAGACAAGATTAGGGCTATAAAGTACAAAATGAGCAACGGACCATTGAATCGCACAAGATACAACGACAATAAATAAGGTGACAATAGAGTGGGAGTAGAACCTAACTTATATTTTCCATTTTTCTTTACCATCTTCCAACCCATTTTATTCTCATTTTGGTATGAAAATTGAAATTATTTAATAAAAGTATATATTTAGAATTTTTTTAATGTAGAAATTCGTGGATGTGTGGAGTCATTTAGTTACTAATTTAGTCCGTTGATTAAAATTAATTTTGTGTTGTATTTAATTTTATTAAATGTTTTGAATGTTTGTGTTTTGTTTGGTTAAAATTAATGAATGAATTAATGAAAATTAAATATTAAGATTAAATTTTTGACAAGTACAAGATCTAATTTTATAATATAAACATTTAGTTGTAAAAGTTAATACGTATAATTGAGATTTTTTTTAAAGGTAGTATTTCTAAACAATAAAGATCGTACCACTACAAATTTAAGATTATACTTCGCTTAATTAAACGATAATTTGTATTTTTATGAACATTGGAATTGATGAATATCTTAAGTCTTATTTAGTAACTGTATAGAAGTTGTGGTTGTTTTTTTTTTTTTTTTTTGATAATTTGGAAGTAGTATTTTTAAATTTAATTTTTTGAAATAAAAAATCAAATGGTTATTAAAAGAAGCCTAAATAAAATAGGACTAAATACAACCAGCTAAAATTTAGAGATTATTAAAGGATGTGAGTAGGAGGATTCATATTTTGAACATGGTTGTGGAGGAGCTCTGGTCTATTTAATGTCATGAATAGGGTCCGGGTTTGTGGTCTTTCTCGTATATACATTTTCACTCAATTTTTTAAAATGGGAAAAGAACCGTACAAAGAAATAATATATTCTTTATAGTAACAAATATGATAGAGATTTAAACCTTGAGCGTTAAAGAAAAGACTAAATACCTTAATCATTATGAAAGAAACATTTTTATTTGAGAATGGTGAGTATAAATTGTAATGAGTAAAATAGGAGGAATGATTAAAGATTTCCCATAAACACATAACATGATTCATATTCTCATTAATATTTGATTACTTTAAAGAAAATATAATTTTTCTTTTATTACAATAATTTGGAGTTTCAGAAAAAACAATCTAGCCAAACTACCATTATAACATCAACATTTTTTCATTTAAACAACTATCTTTACCGGGTGGAAGGAAAAAAGTGGAAGCCAACCAGAGTTGGATCAACCTTTGTGAAGGAAGTTGAGTTAGAAAAGTAAACTTCATCGATATTCAATATTGGAAATAGGAGAATTGGAAGGTCTTTTTGTTGGGAGAGTAGTAGTAAGTACCTAAATGTTATAAGAATTTGATCAAATATTGTTATGGTCTCTTTTGATAGTTAGAGTATTTTTTTTTTTAGCTATTTAGTTTAACTAATTTACCATATTTGTGGTTAGTTTCTATTTATTTATGTTGTTATTGTAAGGCTATAAAAGCCAAAGTTAAATACTCAATAATATTATCGCTTCAAACTCCAATCGTTTATGTTTCTGTGTTAATCATTCTTCTGTCAAAAACTTATAATTGGCCTCAGAACCACCACTAGGCTTTGTAGTGTAGTAATTTTTTAGTGATCAAATATAGAGAGTATGAGTAAAGACAAGACTTTAACGAAGATCCCTCACTTCGATGGTCTCTATGATCACTAGAGTGAGCTGATGGAAAATTTGCTCAAAGAAAAGAGTTTATTAAGTGTGGTAGAGATTGGTTTCTCAGAACTAGCGGAAGAAACAATGCTGACTAAGGCACAAAAGGGTCATCTTGATGATGCTAGACTCAAAGATCACCAAGTAAAGCATTACCTCTTCCAGGCAATTGATCGTACTGTCTTTGAACAAATCTTGGATCGTCGCACAACCAATATTGTTTGGGACTTAATGAAGCGAAAGTTGGTGGAAACAAAAAAGTGAAGAAATCTCTTCTTAATGCATTAAGGAGAGAATTTGAGATCCTAGAGATCGAAGAAAATGAAAGTATCATATTATTTTGCAAGAGTGATGATAATCTCCAACAAGATGAGAAGATATGCCAGACAAGAAAACTGTAGAAAAAATTCTACGTACCCTCACTGAAAAATTTACTTATGTTGTATTATCCATTGAGGAATCCAAAGATACTGATAACATGTCCATTGATGAATTACAAAGTTCATTAGTGGTGCATGAACAAAAATTTCGAAGATCAAGCAATACTGGAGAGGAGCAAGTTCTAAAAGTCGAAGGTCGAACGAAAATAAGTAATAGAGGAAGAGGAACTTACAGGAGCAGAGGACACGGAAGAAGAAAATCAACTTTCAACAAAGCAACTGTTGAATGTTATAGGTGTCATGACTTGGGTCATAAATATGAATGTCCAAAGATGAATAAGGAATTGAATTATGCAAAGCTGGAAGAAGAGGATGAAATGTTGTTAATGGCTGATATTGAAGACATGAAGTAAAAAGGAGTTATACTTGGTTCTTAGATTCTGGTTGCTTAAACCATATGTGTGTATATGAAGGTATGTTTTCAAGCTTAGACAGGACCTTTTCCCACTCCATCAAAAGCTTGAAAATAATATAAGTACGAATGGTTCTGGAAAGGGTGAAGTGAAATGAACTTTGCATGGGGTTCGCTACACTATTAGTAATGTGTATTGAGTAGTTGAACAAAACAACAAAAAAGGCTTTGGGCAGATTTACCTAAAGATGTGATCATAAGAATGTCAGTAGTAGGTTTGTTAAATCTTTTCTTTATTTTATTTATGATTTTTTATTTAGATTTTAGTTAGAAATCAAATAAGAATAAAAATTTATGGGTTACGGGTAAATTGATTCCTAATATAGAGCAATTTTATTTTTTTGGAAAGAAAAGAAAATTAGAATCTATTGAAAAATGACAATGAAAATACACCTAAGAAAGAAAAAAAAAGGAAAAGTTTAGAAGTAAGAATGGATTGAAAATTGTCCAATAATATAGGTGAAAGATTTAGGAGTAAAAATGATTAAAAATCAGTCAAGAATATATCCAAACAAAAATTAAAAAAATTAAGCAAAGTACATGCCACAAAAAGAAAATGAAAGATCTGAGTGATAAGGCAAGGAACAAGAATATATCCAAACAAAAATTAAAAGATAAAGCAGAGTACATACCACAAAAAGAAAAGGAAAGATCAAAGTGAGAAGGAAAGGAAGTACACAATACTTGAGTACATGCAGTGAAAGATCAATGAGAAGGATACCGAGTACATGCAGACAAAAAAAATGAAAGATCAATGAGAAGGTAAGTACAAAATACGGTCACTTAAAATAACTCCATCAAATTCTTCCCTAACATAGTAATGATAGGAAATGAGATCTTAATGAAAATAGAATTATATATATATATATATATATATATATATATAACGTTCCAGGACTTTACTCATGAAAAGTCTTTAATGCTCGTATGAGGTCTAGTACATCGACCATTGTGAGATTTAGAGAATTGAACGTGAAATTG